TTGGAAACGATTCACTAACTACCTTTGTTGTTTGATAGATTTGAAGAATATTCTACTTTCTTAGGACACCTAGAACCTATTAATTTTGGTTAATATTTTATTGCTAAATAAAGGAGATGATCCACATCACACCCAATTACAGATTGATGCAGTTCATGTTGAGTGTTAGTAATGTATTCATTCATAATATTGTTCCTTTCTTGTTGATTTTGTTCACATCTAACATCATAATCCCTTTTGAAGTTAATATTCAAGCATTCATCCTATTATGCTGAATACATGTGACTTTGGTTGGGCTAATTTAAATTAACCTAATTTATTTTATTTGAAGCCTAAAACCTTACCATTCTTAAGAAGCGCAGCTTTGAATGTATATTCTATAGTTAAAGCATGTAGCAAACAAAATTAATATCTAAATGATACAAAGTCCAAATCTATTAAAATTCTGCAGCAATACAACCTCTAGTTAAGTCTCAGCCTCCTTCTACATAATGTGGTGACAATCAAACTGAAAGTTTAGAATGTCTTGATGTTTAATCGGTTAATTCTAGAGCTTGTTTAGAACCAACTATTCGTGGTACATAAACTTTCAAATTAATATAATAATGCAATTGATGTCAATATAGAATGCTCAATATCACAAATCTCTTAAAGTGTTTGAATTTGATTAAGGAATTTTGAAAAGTTTAACTTTTAAGTGAACATAAAAATAATGTAAATACTTTTAATTTCATGAAGAGATCGGATCAGTTAAGATCTGAGAGTTCTGATAAGTAGATAATTATTTGGACAACGAATCCACATAATTCATGAATTTGTTAATACAAAATGAATGAACATTAAGGTTTGATCTAATTTTTAATGATAAATTAGAATGAAGATCTTATTGTATCTAGTAAGTACAATCAAGTTATAGAAAAACTCAATCATATTCATAGAAAATATTGATTTCATGTGGAGATGCTAAGTTGATATTGATAAATGCAAAAATTAGAAAGGAATAAATAATGGACTATAAAATAAAAGATTACTGTTAATTTTACTTCTCAAAGCTTGATTGATTTAGAATATAATAAATATGAAAGTAATAAAAAAAGCAATCCAATTACATTATTATGTAATTAATTATTAATTCTGATATCAAGTTAAAATTAACATTATGATTTCTAATATTGAGATAATTAAATCTACAGGTCTTTAAAATAAAGCTTTTTTTTGTATTAATAACTATAAATTGAATTATTATAAAAAAATTAAATTGGTAGAATTTGTTTTAAGCACCAAAACATAATTGTTTTTATCGAATGATTCAATTAACGGGGTTTGAGAATTGATTTTTATTTTTTTCAGTTTATAACATAGAATTCACAACTTAATTAATTATTTTGATTTATTTTAAATAATGTAATCTTCATTTCAAAATAAAATATGTTCCATCCACAAATTGAGAATAACTAAAATCGATCTTAGCAAATCAATTATGAATCAAAATAAATATTTGTGCAAAAAATGTCTAATATAGAAAATATAAACTAAGAGCATGGTTTTAGTTAATGAAGTAGAAGAAATGATAAACGAAATGGAGAACACTTAGAAAAGCATGAAATATTAAGAAGTTTATAAAGAGTAGAAAACTACTAATTAATTCAATACCTATTAAATAAATGCTAGGAATAGTTTTTAACTGTTATAAAACAAATCATACTAAATTTAGAAGATAAAATAAAATCATTAAATGAAGAATTACTATAATCTTCATCTAAACAGAATGAATAAAGTTTTGAAGACAAAATTGACATTCTTTCATAAAATTTTTAAGGGAATCATTTTTATAAAGATGTAAAGTAATTCAAGCACATAGAATACGAAAACTAATTTTTTAATACTATTAAATCACAATTATTGTCTTTCAATAATAATCAATCATATATTCAACTTATGGATTCGTTATCCGAAATGATAATTTATGAAAAAAGCAAAGATGATGCTGTTTCAAAAATCCAATTCATCTAACTGTGAAAATGATGTAAATTTCTTGAAAAATCAATCATAGTATACTCCTAGTTTAAATATAAAATGTAATAAACATGGAAAAAAGATTATTTTACTCAACTTAGATACTAATTAAACCTCTAATTCTAGGAAAGTTTGTATTGATTGTATTTGTGAGAACGTTCTAATCTATTATACTTCTTCTTTACATGAGGCTACGAAAAGATGGAAAGAATACCAAATAAAAACTTAGATTTCAATCAAAGAATATATTTAACATAAAAATTTCAATAATACCAAATTCTTAAAATACTTGATGATATTAAAGATATAGTTATTTATTCAAAATCTTTAATATATACCATTTTACTATAAATATACTTCTTTTTTGCATGAATAAATTAATAAGTTGAAAAGTTTGGAATCTAAATTAAATAAACTGGAAGAGAATAATATTATCGAAGACTCCATATATGATTTAGACGAGGATTAAATTGATGAAATTGTAAGAACTTTAAGCTAAAGTGACCTCAATGCTGTTTAATTGAATAGTAGAATAACTAATAAGTTTAAGATTAGATACTTTATTAAGCTATTGCTAAGGATATATATAAACATATTCATTATGATTTATAGGCTTCTAAAGCTACAGTTAATGTCTCAAATCTGATTCTTCCTAATAGCAGTCAAGTATTGATTATTAAATATCTTAGATTTCATACTCTAAGAAGCCACAATATATAACTAAACATATTCATAGGACCAAGAAGAAGAATTATTTACAGATGAAGATTTTTCTGATTTGGATGAATATATTGCAAAATTCTAAACTAACTCTGCATAATTGAAAAAAATAAATTAAATTCAAAAAGAATTAAAATTGAAACAATTAGAATTAGAATAAATTCAATTAGAAAAATAAACTGCTGACCAAAATCAATAATAATAATTGATGGAATTAAAAAAGATTAGCGATGATTATGCTGAAGAAATTGTAAATCTGAAAATACAAAAATAGGA